TTTTTAGTGAATTACTGAGTTTATGCACGTTAATAACGTTTTAATGAAGTTGAATACAGTATATTCATATGTGTCAGTGATTTCATGTCAATTCGGCGAACATAAACATAAATGATCGTGGTGAAGATGATGATTAAATTAGGATTAAAAATCGAGAGCCGGGGTGCATTTCCTCCCGTTCGTTTTTTTCGAATAACAACATTATTTTGTTAAATAACAACATGGTGATGTTTTGTAAATGATTACATGTCTCTTATTTAGCACAGTAGTATGATATCCGTGACATATGGATCTTAACAAAGTTCCGCTGTACATCCAGCGTACTGTATCTGACTTTATTTCACATGAGCTCCAGTGTGGAACCCCACTGCACCCCCTGGTGGATCAATGATCCATTGCAGCTGGCTTCATTATAATTACATTTATCTATCACGGGGGCGGTCTCAAGTCAAGCTGGAGGTTTTCCCTTGAGCGAGGGCAGATCACGTACCAATCACGGCCCTCGCGTTTCAAACTGTCTGAAATGAATCGTTACATCTGTATCAGAGGGTCAGTGGTTGGATCCCCAGCCCTTTCAGTCACCATATTGAAGTGTCAATAGGCGCGTTCACACTGCAGTAGGCCTACTTTTCCCACTTTACTTCTGATATAGTTCCGAAATGCTGCGTTCACACCAAAAAAATCCGGAACTAAAATTAGTTAATGAGAACCTTTTTTACCCCCTTTTCAGTCAGGTTTCCGTCCCTGCTAGAGAGCAAGGACTTTCGTGGGAGAAAAAAGGTTCCTATGTCTGATTTGCTGGGCGGATTGCAAATCACGGCCCGTAAAACTCCCAAAAAGTTTTGTGAAGCCGGCATTTTATTATCCTCGCATTAGCATTATTAGCATTAGCGCCCAGCGCACAAACGCAGAGAGACTAACTTATGGCAACACAAAAGAAAACATTGGAGCGGTGGAGATGAGGAGGTGTCGGCGTTCTGGCGATTTACTCGGAAGGCTTCAGTAGAAAATGCTGGGAGTCCCATCAGCGTGAAGTTGTTTGCGGCCTCCCAGTAAACCCAAAGCAGAAGAAGAAGAAGTGACGTCAGCGGCTTCATTTGCCTAATCCACCCCCAGGGACTTATTCCGGTGTG